TTTTCTTCGCCATGTGCGGCCCTTTCTACTTCAGCTCCGAAACAAATCGTCCCAAGAGATTGGAATAGTATTCTCCCGTAATTTTTCTGCCGTTTTCCAGATAATCCACATGAATTACACCTCGGGCATCCCAGAAAACTGTTGCCATCACCTTGTTGGCCGAAAAACCGATCTTTGCCTTTTTCGGTGCCGTTTCTCCAGTTGAAATCCATTGCTTTGCCTGTTCCTTACTCTCTGGTGTATGAATCCAGGTTTCGTCAACAGTCACAAAACGACGAAAAAATTCGTTTTTGTTTGCGTTAAGCAATGCCAAACTCTCCTTCGCAATGTGCAAGCGGTGGCGTTTATTTTCCATTGTGAGCAATCGCGGCACCCATCTTGACAAAAGCTTACTCATGTGTAAAAATTCGTGTAAAATATTTCCAACACGTTCCCGAGAAATGTTTAGAGCATTTGCACTCTCCCGCAGCTTGATTCGGCGATCATCCAATATCATTCCATAGACTTTATCCACAATTTGTGGTGTTGTCACCTCTCTGGGACGATCCGGGCGACCCGCGTTTAAATTCAGCAGTCCAATATTTTAGTATTGAAAACGATGGAGCTGAAAACTGAAATCTTATGACAGCACGATATTCGATTTTATTCATGTTGACGACAATGCAATAGTGAATGCGCTAAAAGTCCCGCCAAAAAATACCAGGGTTGATAAAACCGCATGAAACTTTCACAGTAATCAGCTAATAGAAAACACTAATCGAATAAAATATTTGCGAATTAAAAAAAAATTGTTTTCTTTGTTAGGCCGACTTTTTTCAGCCTACCCTCGTATGCTCCACCCGAAGATAAATATGTACATATGTAACTTTCCTTTTTTGTTTTATTGTAAAAAATTTTAACTAAGAAGATTTTTTAATTTTTTGATTTTGGATTTTTTTGGGTTTTTTCTTTTAATTGAACATTTTTGTACCTGAAATAAACTAATAAATAATATAATATTATAATAACAATATAAGCATTAAATAAGTATGACTGGGATCGGTTGATTTTGTCTACTTGCTCATATACAATGTATTGATGGGAAATGCCATAACTATTTGTTTTTACGATAGAAGTTTTTTTCCCCAAATTTTGTCCAAAAGTGTGCAACGCAGTGAAGGAGACATCTCCGACCCTATAAAGTATATATATTCTTGATCAGGATCACCTCCTGAGTTGATATGAGCATGTCCGTCTGTCCGTCTGTCTGTCTGTCCGTTTCTACGCAAACTAGTCTCTCAGTTTAAGGGGAGGGTAAGGTCAAATCATGCGAAAAAAGCCATGTTTTTGTGATTTTTTTCCTGACGACACAGTTAAAATTTATTTATTCAACCCACGGTATATTAAAGTATGACATTAGAAGAATGTTTTATCAAATTTTTACAAAACAAGAAAGGAAAGCTAACTTCGGGCGGAGCCGAAGTGTATATACCCTTGCAGTTAAAACCGGATATATATCGCAAACATCGGATATAGTTGGCCGCTCCTTATGGGAATATGAATATATAATCCAATTTATTACAATACAAAATCTAAAAAAAGTCGCAAACTTCTATCTTCAAACATACCAAAGTTGGTATTTCTACCAAATACCATCTCCGATCGTTCAGTTATATGGCAGCTATAGGATATAGTCGGCCGATCGTTATGAAATTTGGTAGGTCGGATAAACTGACCAAAAATATAATCTGTACCAAGTTCCAGCTTTCTATCTTCAAAAACACGAAAGTTGGGTCATTTCCGATCGTTCAGTTATATGGCAGCTATAAGATATAGTCGGCCGATCCTTATGAAATTTGGCATGTCGTAATGTTTTGCCAAACATAGCGCTCGTGTCAAATTTGAACTCTCTAACTTTGAAAACACCAAAGTTATACCATTTCCGATCAATCAGTTATATGGCAGCTATAGGATATAGTCGGCCGATCCCGGCCGTTCCGACTTATATACTGCGTGCAAAGGAAAGAAGGGTGCGTGCAAAGTTTCAAGACGATAGCTTTAAAACTGAGAGACTAGTTCGCGTAGAAACAGACAGACAGACGGACAGACAGACGGACAGACAGACGGACTGCTGCCATATAACTGAACGTTCGGAAATGACCCAACTTTCGTATTTTCGAAGATAGAAGCTTGGGACTTTTTTTTAGATTTTTTATTGTAATTAATTGGTTTTATTATGATGTAATCATAAGGATCGGCCAACTATATCCGATGTTTGCGACATATATACCGCGTTTTAACTGCAAGGGTATATCAACTTCGGCTCCGCCCGAAGTTAGCTTTGCTTTCTTGTTTTAAAATGATAGGATCGACCAACTAACTCAGATATTGGCGATTTATCTAATCCATATATATCCTACAATATGTTATATCCCAAATTAAGGTTAAATCAACGTAGTCTGCTCCCTTAGTCAGCTTTCCAATCTTGTTTGCACTGTACTAGATGCCATTTGAAAATGCCCATTTTTTTTTATATCTGATCCGTATATACATACTTTAAAATGTATACTACAAGAGTATAGGTATTTCTTGTATTTTACCCTCTTTTACCCCAACAGGGCAATGATCTAAAACATTGCGCCCACAATACCAAGCTATAGATTTTTTATAATGTGAAAAATCACTTAAATTCGCCACCGCAATCCTTTGATCTTAATCCTACTGAGCATCTATGTGACCTCAGAATTCGTTAAGACACCATAACATCCAAGGATATGCTCAAAAGGGTCATTCAGGAAGAATGGAGTCAAATACCGGTAGAGGATACGGCGAAATTGGTCCACTCCATGCCAAATTGGTTGACTGAAGTTATTAAGGGGTTATATACAGTTGTACCGCGCAAAAATATGGAATTTTATCGATTTTTTTTTTGACACCATAGAAAATATGTTTTACTAAAATGTTTTACTGACGTTGTTTAGTACATGTTTCTGAGTACTTAATTAAATTTTTTTATAAAAAAATATTACATAACAAAAATGTCATAGTCGAATTCCCGGATCGTCTCTTTTCGATGGTGTCATGCGGTGGACATGATTTCTCGAAAACGGTTCATCCGAAATCCAAAATTCAAAAAAGTTTAGTTAGTATATTGTATTGTCTAGTCCGTGAACGAGGGATTTTTAAAAATTTTGATTAAAAAAAAAATGGCGACGTTTTTAACAAAAAATGTACTTTTTCAAGGTATAAGATTTTCGTTTTTTGTGCTTTTGAAAAGGAGTTTTCAAAAAAATAAAAGTCCCTCGTTCACAGACTAGCTAATATTCTAATAAATAAGTGGTCCAAATTTGGTGTTGATCGGATTAGTAGTTTTTTAGAAATCGTGTCCACCGCAAAGGTAATTTCTCAAAAAAAAGATTCTGAGTTAATCGCGTTTAAAGTTTCAAGTTTGTTCAAGTTTTATATGCAGATAGTGAGCTATAAATAGAGAGTATTCCCAATAGAATATACCTAAAGAACATGCAATAAAAAAAAAATCGATTTTTTCATATATCACAACTGTATATAACCCCTTAAACGAAAAGGATATTCAACTTCGTACTAACATATAAAAAAAAAAGTTTTTTTTTTTTTTTTGAATACAGAAAAAAAAATTTTTTTTATATTTTAAATTCTGTACGCATACTTTTTTCTATATTATCTTAAGTTGAAGCGCTAGATACTTACAAAAAGTTACATACCATTAAAGCTAATAAAATGTACTACTTTGTATAAAAACAAGAAAGGAAAGCTAACTTCGGGCGGAGCCGAAGTTTATATACCCTTGCAGTTAAAACCGGATATATATCGCAAACATCGGATATAGTTGGCCGATCTTTATGATTACATCATAATAAAACCAATTAACTAAAATACAATATCTAAAAAAAGTCCCAAACTTCTACCTTCAAAATAACGAAAGTTGATATTTCTACCAAGTACCATTTCCGATCATTCAGTTATATGGCAGCTATAGGATATAGTCGGCCGATCCTAATGAAATTTGGTAGGTTGGATCAACTGGCCAAAAATAGAATCTGTATTGAGTTTCAGCTTTCTATTTTCAAAAACACGAAAGTTGGGTCATTTCCGATCTTTCAGTTATATGGCAGCTATAAGATATAGTCGGACGATCCTGAAATTTGGCATGTCGTATTATTTTGCCCAAAATAGCTCTCGTGTCAAATTTGAACTCTCTAACTCTAAAAACATCAACGTTATACCATTACCGATCAATCAGTTATATGGCAGCTGTAGGATATAGTCGGCCGATCAGGGCCGTTCCGACTTATATACTGCGTACAAAGGAAAGAAGGGTGTGTGCAAAGTTTCAAGTCGATAGCTTTTAAACTGAGAGACTAGTTCGCGTAGAAACGGACAGACAGATGGACAGACGGACATGCTCATATCAACTCAGGAGGTGATCCTGATCAAGAATATATATAACTAATAACGCCGATTACCGTTGTATTCACAAAGAAAACAGATAATCTTGAAGACGTACGAATATTTTTTTTTGCCGAATTTTAAGCCCTTGTTTTGCTTTTCTTTTTATATTTATATACTCAATAAAAATAATTAAACTTTTATTTAATAATATGTTTTGAAAAATCAGTTTTTAATAGAAAAAAATAAAAACACTGCCAAAAATTTCTTTTTGGCAGAAATAAGCCTTTATATAAGTATATTTCAGTGTCCGAATAATTTCTTTGCTGACTGTATGTATGTAGAAAGTGCTTAAAATCGGTTCAAAAGATATTTTTAAATAACAAACAAGCTATTATTTTGGCTAAATCAATACATGTATGTATGTACATTCATATGTATGTACATACATATGTATGTATGTATCCCACTCTAAAGCTTAATAAAGAGTTCGTATCATAATTCATCAGGCTCACCTCTCGCATCGTCAATATTTGTGCCATTACATTAATGTGTACAAAATAAGTTAGTGTTTAATAAATGCGTGACTTTCTTACAAAGATATGCGGGCCGATATTATACCTATGTATATACATACATAAGTATACATGTATTTGTACGTAACTGTTGGCATCTAATTCTTCTTTCTTGAATAAAGCGTTCAGTAATCCTCGAACGAACACTTTAGCCAAATGACCACTGTTCATATAACTTGCGATTTCATTCGATAACCTACACCTTTCCGCCCTCGCTGCTGTTCCCGTCGAGTCATGACGAAATACCACGAAATACTGACTCTGGTGGCGCTGTCGTCAACTGGAGATTCCAGAATTTAACAATAATTTGTCCGAGATGATTTAAGAGCTGAAGCGTTAGGAAAAGTTCACCAAATTTGTTCTCTTTGCTTCTCTTTGGCTCTTTTTAGTGAAACAACTTTCTCATTTCAACACGAGTCGTTTTCCCATAAGCATCTCCCCACTTTTAAAAGAATACAAAAACAATACTTAGGAGTGGTTGGCTGGGAATTTCCGTATATGTTTGTGGGCGTGGATTTAATTGTTTTGAATGTATATACATATGTATGTATATAAATACATAGCTGAACAGTGCCCGCTGAGGTACGTGCTCGCTCCTTTTCTCTCTCTCATTGTATTAAAATTTCTCTCTCTTCTGAATTTCTATCTTTTTCTCACTCAACCCCCAAATCATGTCACCATGTATCCGTCAGCATTTTTATATTTCTGTCCCTATCTAGCATTTGATGGTGGCTGTGATGTTAATACAGACAGCACAAAAAATCTTTGTGTTTCTTCTTGACTTCGAATTCAATACCTAGGAGGGAAATCGAAAGAAACGCCTATTGTCAAACACAATATTTGTACATAAATATAAATGTACTTGATGTGGGAGTCGCACATAATCGGCAAGCTCCTCCCCTAAATGAACATTCACTCCAATGTAGTGGTGGTTCCGTTACTGTTCCGCTTGTTTCAGCCAATTGTCTTGTCAATTGTTTGATATTGTAGTTCCCGCATTGCGTTTTGGTTGGTCGATGAAAAACGGAAATCTGCTAACGTGTAGATACATACTTAAAGAAGAAGAAGCCGCCAGAGCATAGAACATATAAATATCTATGTACTTTCTATTTATTATATGTTTGTGTACATATGGTATATAACCATACATACACTCATATATGTACAAATATATAAATGTCCTTTGTTTCTAAGAACATACATACATATGTATAATTTGACAATAGGCTAAAAGCCGGACAGAACTTAATTGGACTATATACACACATGTATGTAAATACATACATACACATATGTGTATATATGTATATTATATTGATACGTATAGAAATAGATATGTACGTCACAAAACGTATAAATATGTACACATGTAGATTATACACTTACATTTACATTTTATTTGTAATTTTAAAATATTTGTAAGACACTTTATAACGGTTTATGAAAAACATAGGGCTTACTTATAAAAATACGTATTCTGACAGGTTTTATGTCTTTTATGTATATCTTACATATGTATGTATATGTACATACCAACCTACATGTTCTTAAAATTGTACAAGGCTAATCAACTTAAAGGGTTGATAAGCTTATCAGTCTAAAATTTTGACACAATCTTCTTGGATTTTTTATTCCAACAATAATTGATTTATTTATTTTCAAAAGTGAATTTCTATTTTTTTTCGACAATTTAATTTAAAATCCTTCGTTAAAAAAAAAAGCATTTACGTATTCTTCAAAAGAATTATTACAAGTTTTTTGATTTTGGATATTCCGCAAACATCAATGTTCCATAAGTAGAAAAAAAAATATTTTTATGTATGTATATACCGGATCTTAAGTGCAAGAGTGTATCAATTTCGGCACCGCTTTCGTTTCGAAAACTATTTTTAAAAAAATTTTAAAGCTTTTAATTAAAAATTTAAAAAGCTTTTTGTTAAAAAAAAAAATTTTAAATAACTTGTATATAAAATTTTATTTCATTAATATGAAACATAACTACTGTACTAGGTTGAAGCCTTTCGAAGGTTTATGTTCACGCTAAATTATGTTTATTAGATACGAAAGAAAAACGAAAATATATTCACAAAGAGCCATTGATTCACACGAGGCCTTATTTTTACATTGCCAAATAATTGGCGCGCTACTTTTGGCGCCGTTTTATCGCCTACGTCTCCTTCAGCTGTTTTCGACTTAATTAGTGAAAAGAAGGCATCGCACAAACTCATATCTCTACCATGTTAAATGCGTTTTGAACGAATCTTGTAAGGACCCCCTTACTTAAAGTTTAGGAGGTGGTTTGCTGGGTACTGATATAGAGTCATAGAGTTATACGCAATTGCGCGACCCAAAAAACCCAACATTTTTAAAATTTTCTTACGAAGAGAAATTGAAATGTTTCAAGACAATTATTATTAACTAGAAGCTACTTTTATGTTGATAATGTCATGTCGATCATGTACATATGTATTTCAAAAATCGGATAATGTTTTTTTCGAAAAGCATCAAAGTTATGTCATTTCCAATAAATTAGTTATATGAAAGCTTTAAGATAAAGTCGATCCATCCCGGGCGTTCCGACTTATAATTTATAACGGCTCTGGAGGTGAACATGATCCAGATTATATGTACTTTATAGGGTCGGAAATGCACATTTTTCATCAAAATTATAATATCCTCTGCATGGGTATAACAATATAGGACGGATAAGGCGAGTACCTGACTATGGGATACTCAACCCGGTACTCAACTCTTCCATACAAACCTTAACTAACCTTTATAAGTAAAGAGTCCCATTTTGTTTGCATACTTTTTTATGTTATGGAAATAACATCTAGCAAAATCAAAGTAGTAGATACTCCAAAAACTGCCCAATTTGGCTTTATTTTGACTAGTAGGTATAGATTACCCATTGGAATAGTTTTGCATCAAAATACTTCTCAAAAAATTTAATAACTATCACACGAACAATGAACAATATTAATGAACAAGATTTCTGTTTTAGGGCCGGGAGTGGGTGTGGCTAAAATCTTAATCCACGCGTTAAAGAGCGATTTATTTTTGAAAAACTTGTAGTGCCAAACTATTTATTAAGTTGATTTATAAGAGAAAAACAAAATTTCATCCAAAAAAGCCTTTGTTAAAGGAGATATACCTGTATAAATACCATTTCCCATGAAAACGGGCTACAATTTTGAACGCGTGGAATTTGAAGACTATAAGAGATAGAGCTATCCGATTTGAAACTTTGACGTATGGTATCCGCGCAGATCAAGTTTGTATTAAAATTTTGACACGCCCACTATCATTCTTATTATAGCGCCAGTTTGTACATTTTTATACCCTTGCAGAGGGTATTATATTTTTGTCCAAAAGTGTGTAACGGAGTGAAGGAGACATCTCCGACCCTATAAAGTATATATATTCTTGATCAGGATCACCTCCTGAGTTGATATAAGCATGTCCGTCTGTCCGTCTGTCTGTCTGTCCGTTTCTACGCGAACTAGTCTCTCAGTTTTAAAGCTATCGTCTTGAAACTTTGCACACACCCTTCTTTCCTTTGCACGCAGTATATAAGTCGGAACGGCCCGGATCGGCCGAATATATCTAATAGCTCCCATATAACTGATTGATCGGAGATGGTATAACTTTTGTGTTTTTAGAGTTAGAGAGTTCAAATGCCAAATTTCATAAGGATTCAAATTTCAAAATCGAAAATGAACCAACTTTCGTGTTTTTGCAGATAGAAAGCTGAAACTTAATACAGATTCTATTTTTGGCCAGTTGATCCAACCTACCAAATTTCATTAGGATTGGCCGACTATATCCTATAGCTGCCATATAACTGAACGATCGGAAATGGTATTTGGTAGAAATACCGTATTTCATCAATCAACTTTCGTAATTTTGAAGATAGAAGCTTGGGACTTTTTTTTAGATTTTTTATTTTAATTAAATGGTTTTATTATGATGTAACCATAAGGATCGGCCAACTATATCCGATGTTTGCGATATATGTATATCCGGCTTTAACTGCAAGGGTATATCAACTTCGGTTCCGCCCGAAGTTAGCTTTCCTTTCCTGTTTTTAAAATGTTATGATACCAAACTGTTTCAATGGCTAATCTACACCTAGAAATTAGACAAATCGGACAATTTTAAGAGAAATTATAGACTTTTTAGCCATAGGTGGTAGAAAGAACTCAGCGGTTTGTTGTTTTGCCCAAGCGCAAGAGTGTGCAACAAAAATTTCTTGCGGAGAGTCTATACTTTAAAGGTTACTTAAGTTGTGGGTGGAAGAGATGAGTTGTACCCAGTGGTATAATAAAGTTTTATTTTTGTTGCAGAGTGGAAAACTCTAGAACAAAAATTGCTTTTTTACCCTACCTACTACTTCCATTGAAGAAAATCTAGACAAATGACAAATCGACGGTTGGCAAATGTTTGAATACAAACGATATAAATAAAACAATACTTCTCAATTGAAATATCACTCATTCATATTATACGCACACAGAAAATGTTTAATTGTTTGGCTATGTTATGCATATACATACATACATACATATAGTGTCTCCTCGCGCACGCTAAGACATACCACTATAGGAAATATGCCCCCTTTTTGGGCCAAAAATAATATATCAAGAACGAAACAAGATATTTAAGTTTTAATTTTTTATTTGAGTTCACATGGTCAATAGATTTAAGATTTAAAATAAATGGTGGCGTGGCGCCGCCCACTTTTTAAGAAACACATTCTAACTCAAAAACTAAGCAAGATATTTAGATTTTAATTTTTGATTTGAGTTTATATGGTCAAAAGAACTCAGATTTGAAAGAATTGTGGGCGCGACACCGCGCCCTATTTAAAAATAACAAGCTAACTCAAAAACTAAGAAAGATATTTCGATTTGGTTATTTTTTAGTGTTTTATAAAGCCATAGTCTTCTTTTAGAAAAGTAGGTGTGGTTTTTTTTTTTAATTAAAAATCTTTTATTTCTTTTAAATTTAAATCGGTTTTGCACTAGTCTCACAGCTAACAGCTTATATTCACATATAAGGTTTTGAGGTTGCCTCCTTTAGGGGAGGTTCTTAGGAGAGCGTTTCAAACATACCCATGATAACAAGAAAGCTATCTAAAGGCAAAGTTTCTAAAAACTTTAAACGCGTTTTTCTCGGAACCATGTTTTTAAACCTCTTGTCGCGCACAGGGCTCGTTCTATTGATCCGATTTCCTTCATTCACAAAATGTTTAAAAGTGCATA